TCCTGCTGACAGTGATGAGCTCTGAATTCCTACAAATTTGAGAACATTGAGGACAAAATCTAGCTCCAACTGTTTCCTTCAGTGGGACAGCAACAGCAATAACAACAATAATATCTGCACTTTACTATTGGAACGCTTGTCAGCTCCAAGCCTTTCTTTAACAATTTCAAATGCCAAAATTCCAGTCCCTGATGGCAATCTCTGTCTTATTAGGCCCTATCAGTCAATCAATCACCATGAAGCTCCACTAGGTAAAAGGAAGTAATATTAATTCGGGGATAAGGCAATAACAGATCAGAGAAATCCTTATGTATGCTTTTATTTATACCACCTGAGGATCTGATTTCTATCTAGATATAAAAGATAATGGAAGATGTTAATGAAACAACAGAAAAGCCTACATCAAACGTATCCTGTACTTCTTTATTAGGAAATGGAGATCTTTGTGACTTTGACAAAGTCAGAGAAGAACAGTTATGGATTCTCTGTAGTTCTTAGCAAAGCTGACAACTGCCTGTATGTTGATGAAATCTTGTATGAGCCTGCCCTGTCTGATGGAAGACTAAGAAGGGGAGACAGAATCATTATGGTACGGTAATTCTTTAAGTTTCTACAGAGAAGAAAATATTTGCAGATCAATGTAATTTAGTTTTGTTATTCTTCCTGCCATAGGGGCCAGTTTATAATGTATTTAGGCATGGAAGTGCAAAGGAATCATATAAAAAATATGATTCTGCTGACTTCAGTAGGACCAATTTCAGGCTGAATAGATTGTATGACCAGGCAATTAACATTAATCACCTAGCAGCAATGTAAGACAACAGAGACATTAAATAACTTCCCAATTAAAGGACGTAAACTGTACTAACACAATAAGATAGGTGACATTTAAAGGATGCAGGAGTTACATGCTTTGCAAGGTATGAATAACGCCTGTTTTCAGCCTGGTTCATCTTCAATACGTAAAATTCAGAGTGGAAGGAGAGGTACGTGATGGTAAATGAGATTTATGACATCATTTTTACTGGTTTGTCATTTAGGTGAATGGAATTGATGTCACATCTTTACCATGCAATGAAGCCCTGACTTTACTGCAAAGCTCTCCTCCTGATCTGCATCTTGTGGTTTGTCGTGCTGACAGTGATCCAAGTTCCTCTATTAGGCCAGATGAGATTCCTGAAATTACTCTCGCAAAAGGTGCCAATGGACAGCTAGGTGTGTAGTAAATACTATGCTTGCTATTTTGGATAGGGATTACAGCATTCATAAGATAATCAGAAGCAACTGTGGTATTAGATCCTGAGTGATCTTGACATCTTTATGTTCTCCTCCTTCATCCATGACCAAGGAACACAGGGCTTTAGTTTGGGCAAGGACTTAAAGGGAAGACTAATATCTCTTATTAGACCAATGAAGATAGTTGCAAAAATTATCTTTGTATTATTATCCTATTGGCTGAAATTTCTGGCATATCTCAAATCTCATATATTTATCAACAAAAGAAGTTGTTGATATTTAGATAATTTAGATAATTATGTTTACTACCTGCTAAGATGCATAAAGATCTATTTGGAGGGGGGGAAAAAAGGCAAAGTTTGAGAAGGAGGAACCAATGGTTAGGACAATAGTTTGCTGTTCAAAAAATATACACACAATCCTTGGTTTATCACAGACACAAAGTTGTATCTACACTTTGCAATACAAGTGATAGAAATTCTCACAGCATGAGTATCTTGGTATTTCTGCAGAATGTGGTGAGTACTGCACACAGATAGAACTGCAGACTCTGAAACAGTCTAGCCACATTTGTTTAGGTACAGCATTCTGATTCCAGTTCAGAAACCATCTCTTTGGGAGATTGCTTGAATATCATCGCACAATTCCATTTTGCACTGTACAAGCACCTCCTTAGCTGTCATATACCTCCCTTCTCTATGGCATTCCAAAGACTGCAAGGCACTTCAGCTCTCTGGTAATGAGGGAGTTGCTGCTATGTGACTAAGTTTCTTATTCAAATGAGTATCCAACATTAGGTGAAATAAAGCAGTACAAAATAGCTGAAGCAGAGATGGACAATCGCATTTATGTTTTTTTCCATACTTTTAAAACATCTAATTGCACTTCACTCTCTGAGTCCACCTCTTGTACCCTGTCTCACTGAGGAAAGACTGTTATTTATAATGCCAGTGATTTGTTCAGCCTGTCTTTCAATGATTCACATCTATTCCATTAGGCTGTATGTCACTAACAGTATAATTCAAAAGACACTGCCACAAAAGATGCTTTCTCTGCATTATTCTAGGCTTAAAGTTGACAGGAGGAGCTGGAAGCAAGTTACAAGGTATTTATGTGGTAGAGGTAGTGCCTGGCTCTCCTGCCAGTGTGGAAGGCAGTTTGCAGCCACAAGATCAGATTGTTTACATCTGTGGACTGTGGACTGAGGGAATTAGCCTGGATGATGCAGTGAGAGTGTGTGAAGCTGCAACCCAGAATGTCCAAATCAAAGCCATAAGGTAAATCTGAGCATACTCCAACAATCCTAATGTTAAAGCACGTCTCTGAATTTTACATCAAGTAAAAAAATAAAAACAAAACAAACTAAACAAGATAAATTACAAGAAAAATGCTTTACCTCAAGCATTTGAATGTTGCAACCTAATACATAACAGTCATAAGATAACTCCTTGCAATTACAACTTATACAGTGAGTAAAAGTAGACTAATATGAGTCAAATGAGAACTCTTAAAACTTCATCATCCAAACACAAATGTGAATCCTTTTACTGTGAGGCTGCCCACCGTTTTCAGATACCCTGCTCTCCAGGGAAAATAATCTTTTTATTTCCACTACTAGTGTTAACCTTCTCCATACATTCTCAGATTCACAATTACAGGCAAGAAAGTACCTCCAATGTTGAAAGTAACTTTGAGTTACTTCCAACAGCCAAATCTTTTAGAAAGGTGTTAAAAATGCAGATTTTAATCTGCAGCAAGTTAAGAATTTCCCTCATCAGCTCTTGGCCACACATTAGATTTACTGTGTCCTGCAGTGTAGTAGGGCATCAGCAGAGCTCCTGGACTGATATATTTCTACTTCTAGCTTCCAAATATCTCAGAGAAACAAGTCAAACAATAAGGCAAAAGTACATGAATAAGTTACATCACCACAGTTAGCTACGGTGTGTCTGTCACAGCCATCTGATTCACTTGCACTGGACTAGCAGATGAAGAAACCACAGCCTCATTATACTTCCTGCTGTACAAGCAGTTAGTAGGCAACACATCCTAAGAATTTACAATCCAAGGAGACCAACAGAAATAAGATAATGGAATTTATAAAAGATCATTCCCACTTTATAGAGGGGGAACCAAAGCTGAATTAAAAATGTACCACAAGGGAGTTCTGTATTATAACAGGTTCTTTGTTTCCACAGCTCATTTAAATAAAATGTTTCATTGTTGATAAAGACAATCAAACATTTTATATACAGATAGAAATGCTCTTTAAGGAAGAACCATTAAAAAAAACATAGAAGTATAACTACAATTTAGACAACTGAATTTCTAAAAATACTTTTCATATATGCTTTACAAAGCATGCAGCTCTTAATGGCTCATATATTTCACTTTTTCTGCCCTCAGAAATGGCAATCCAGTGGTTCCTATAGAGCAGAAAAATAGTAAGTAAGGCTAATATATATATATATATACACATACATATTTTAGTTCAAAACTTGCTTCTGATTTTGGAAATAGCAGAAGGTATTGATTAATTTCATTTAAAAAGTTATTAACAGATTACAACTTGGCATTCAGTTTCTGTGTTATGGCCATTCTAAGGGTCTGAAAAAAACCCAACACTTTAAAGATAGAAGATTTTTTAAATTATTGATATTAAACGGGAGTTTTACATGGTCATATTTCAATATCTATTCTGATTTAAAATATTATCTACCAGGTTTTCCAGCACTTTTTGAGCCACTAGTTAATATGAGCCACTATTTCATCATTCAGACCAACTTTTTATACTGTTATCAATAAACCTATAAAAAATCAGAATCAGGCAGCACCAATATCCCTTAGTTAATATAAGAGCATTCCTATTGGGGTAGGATATTTAGTACTATAACTGACGCAAAACATCAGTAATCATCTGCACTACAAAGACCTGATGAGAATTGCTCTAGCAATAGAAGGAGTCTCGGCAAGCAGAGGTTGTACCTGCACCAACAGGTGGAAGGATAGGTATCACATCTACGTCACTGAGTAAAGGTGTGTTACCTATGCAATAATGCTTTCCAGTGTACATTTGGCTAGAAAGTTTAGTCAGGCCTAACATTTGCCTAACTGGATGTCTGATTTTTTTTTAATCATGCAAAGATTACCTGAAAATGTAACCCTGGACCAGAATTGCTCATGTGCCTACATGCATCTAAATACTATAAGACCTGAATAAATTATTCCAAGTCAAGCTAGTTACAGATTTCCTACTGTACAACAACTAGCCACTAACAAACAAACTAGTGTTTGGTTTTGTAAACTGAAGCAGCTTATTTCACTCACTGAAGAGCAAGCTTCTTTGAAATTACTACAAGACACAAAAAAAGCTACGTGTATTCTCAGCCATTGTGGTACAACTAAAGCACAGTCAATTCATAGCCTGGTAGGACCTTGCTTACACATCCTTGCTCCATGAGCTTTGTAGATTCCAAGATTTCTCAAGACACCTTCAAAATAGTTTATCAGATCGGATCCACCTCTGATTCAGATTTCTGAACTCTTACATGGCACCCCTCTTATAAAACAAGATTCTTGCCTTTTAGAAGACACAAAAAAAACTTATGGCAACTTTGTATTTAGTCTTCCTACATATCCATCTCTGCAGACACTAACACACCCTGCTTCTTCCTCTGCCTGATCATTGCCACATGTCTAGAATGACAATTTGATCACTGATTGTTGCCACACTTTTAAAAATAGCAATTTCTCTGCAATTCATGACAGAATTGTTTATATCAGTGGGCAGATTGGCAAACTTAATGCAGAAGTGTCTCGAACTGTCTCACAGAGTATCAATATTGGATATTTATGCTTTGTTTAACAATCTAAGCACAGTTCACCTTCTCTTGTATATATGGAGGTTAGCAAGAGGCCTGTTAGAACAAATATACATGTATGTTTTTAGCGCCACCTGCTGAAACAGAAAAAGCCAGTATTTCCCTCTCAAATGAAAACCTGAATTCCCGAGAAAAGCATCTGCTGCATCAACATGGTAAGAAACTTTGTCTTTTTTAATTAGGGTTTGTAAAATTATGTATCCTCTCTTGAAAAAAAAATAATAATAAAAGAATAGTCTATAGGTGATACTGGCTGCATCTGGGAAGGTTCAACTCTTCATAAACAAAACTGCCTTCTGCAGAGCTTCAGAGAACATTCATACATTACCTGCTGTCCATCTGGTATGTCTCACATTGTAACATGCAGCTTTTAAAGCTTGTTTTGGAACCTGCTCACTAGGAGATAAAGAAGTCGACAGGGATAATGTGCAAAAGGCTCACTTCACAGTTGAGGAATATAAACCCACAGGATTATTTTGTTGTTGTTGTTTTACATGTCAAATATAAAATGTTTTAGTATGTCCCTGAACATGATTTTCAGTATTATATTGTAGAACATGTTACCAGTACAACTGGGTTAAAAATGTTGCTGGTTTTTCATAGAGAAACCTTTGGAGGAAACAAACTGTGGTACTCAGGAAACCACCCCTGATTCTCCACAGTGTAAGGTAAGTAACAATTTTATCTAGTGTGAGATTGTCCATCAAGTGAGGTGAAATAAATGGAGTGAGATCTTTTTCAACAGCAGTATTTAATGTATATGCTTCCTCTCTGATTTCTTCGAAAATGTGAATATATGGCATTGGGAGAGTGTCCTCTGAAGTGTTGCATTGCTTCAGCATTCATGGACTAGAATGTGTTTAGCACTTCCTGGAGTCAGACTCTTCTATTGCTGTTTTTCAATGTATAATATCACTATTTTAGCAGCTTGGTAATATAAGTGTGATTTACACACTGTAGCCCTTCCATTAGGTCTTCATGGTACTCTTAACACCTTACAAGATTAATCCTTAGCTTAGAAAGTAGCACAGGAAAGAGATACAGAATGTCACAGGATGGGATGCTGGGGAAAATAAGCATAATTGTAATTGTGTAATTCACAACAGTATTTGAAACTTGAGATTAATGTGTTTCATTCTTTAATTCTCAGATATTTTAAAAGAGGGTAAAATCTCACCAAGCCTTTAGAATATTATGCAGCATTGACATGAACCATAACATTTTAAATTTGGCAAGAGTAATGTTATTTTTAAAAAGATTAAGTTCTTAAATACACAGGTGTGTTCTTTGAAGAAAGAAGTAACTTCCATACTCAACATACAATGCTTCAAAATTCTTTAAAAATTCTTCAAAATTCTGCAAATATTTTTTTTTCATGTAAATGTGGAAATAGTGTTACTTGGAATTGAAATCATCCACATTGGGACTGATATTTCATGGGAATAGATTTACTAGTTTTCTCTTGACTCTGGTATTCAAACAAGGGCTGTCTCTTGTTAAAATTAGATCTCCAAGCTGGCAAAAAAACATGGCAACTATTTTCCCCCTTTTGATTAAGTCCTCACTAATACTGCTTATTCCACACCATTTAATCCATGATGGTTTTTCTGTTCAATTTGCTGAAATTATTTCTGAGGATGATACCTGCAACATTGGAACCAGTCATGCTGCAAGCCTTAAAGATTTCTGGGTTGCTGCTATTGCTGACATAATACTTGACCCTAAAAAAGCAGCAGATTTTAAAACTAAATGAAGTGCTATAGCCAAACAGATAGGAATGTTTGGGTTGCAAGGTTAAGATTTTCATTATGGAACAATAAAATAATTGATTATGTACTGTGTTACTGTCAAGCTGGAGATAGGAATTACTCATTTGTCAATGAAGGTGATGTATTTAATACATTATAAAAAGATTACAAGAGTACACGTCCTTGTTTTTAAGATATTATTTTCCCCTCCAGCAATTATTAAAAAAGGTTATGAAAATAAGTATATACCATTTTCATTCTGATATATACATGTAGCCACTATATGTTAATCACTGGAAGCTCTATGCACCTATTCAAGAGGATATATCCCATAATCTACATCAGCCAGTGACAACTAGGAAGCACAATAGGATTCTTTGGTGTTAAGACTGCATAAAAAACACAGTCCTGAATAAACTCAATTTTAAACTGCATTCATTTCTGTTTTAGGACTTCATTATTAAGATTGAACTGGAAAAAGCAGAAAATGGAAGCCTAGGATTTGCACTGGTAGGTGGAAGAAACGGCAGAGCTATCCTAATAAAAGCCATCAGCCCAGACAGCATTGCAGATCTAGATGGGAGGCTTCAAGTTGGTGACATTCTACTTAAGGTAATGCTGGTTCTTCATTCTTTTGGACTATATTTTCCCTAGTTGCTCTGTAATGAGTAGTCTATTCAGTATAAAGGGTGTGCAGATCAGAAAACTGAGGCTGCTTGGCACAGTAACAAGTAGAAAATGGTGTCCCTTGGCTCCTGGGGGTCAGAGGGCTGTTCTGGCCCACTCTCTACCCCTCTTGCCTCAAGTTCAGCTTCCTGTGGAATGGGCCTCCCTGCAGCTGGAGGCAGTCATTGGGTACTCCAGCAGAGTGGCAGACACAGTATAGCAGGGCAAATGACAAAGCTCAACTACTTCATGGTGTAACTGTGTCCAGCAGGACTCATGAAAAAAAAACAGAGAAACAAGTCAGCTGACCAAACATGCATATAACAGCTAACCAGGATACTGGCAGGAGCCTTTCATCTGTGCCAGGAAGGTATTATCAAGGCAAGCAAAAAGCACTGGAATTAGAACTTCTGTGTCTTTATTTTAAATCTTACTATCTTAACCGTCTTTTAATAGAATATTTTACCCCAAATTATTTTTTCTATTCCCTCCAGAGGTTTCAATATTTTTGTTTGCTTTTCTATTTTTTATTTCTTTCCATCTGAAGAGTGGGGGAAACAATGCATCTTAGTGTCTCAGAAGAGATGCAGATTATGCTTTTAGGGTGTACTCTTGGAAATCATAGTATAAAGAAGTAGAGAGGAGAAGATCAAGAAAGTTACTAAAATGGGAAGGGATAAAAACACATGAAGTTCAAAGAAGTTATATAAAGATTGGTCAATGCTAGGACAGATTATTTAAAAAGCTTTCTCTTACAGGAATCTGGAAGTACATATAATTGTATTTTTCAGGTGAATGAGACTTTTGTGTCTGGTCTGCCACGCCACACAGTTATAGATTTGCTGCGCAAGGCTCATGGCACGATCCAACTCACTGTCTGCCGAAGCATGGCTCTGCACTGGGCTTATTCAGACAATCAGAGCCACAGCACACCTTCCCCCCAGGACACAAAAGCAGAGCCTGGTAAGCAGCTACATCCACTCAGTACACAATAAAGTGGGATTATGTGTTGCCTGAATTCAACTTTCCTATTAGCAAAACATTTCACTATTACTAACATTACAGTTATTCTGGTTCATAGCTGTAGATACAAACACCTTCATCATGATCTGCAGCACTGGCTAAGCTACTCAAGCATAGAACCCCAGGGAAGGAATGACCAAGTATGATTTTTAAGTCTAGGAATAGTAGTGGAAGCAAAGCTGCAAGACCCTCGAAGTAACTTGAACTCAGCTTATGTTTTTAATTCAATGAGGTTCCTGGTCTGTGCTAATTTTATACAATTTACTGATGGAATCACAGGCAATTACTGACCCAGCTGTTAAAATATATTTCCCACAAATTTCACATCCCAGATCTCCTACCTTATCTCTCAGAAGCACAATACCTCTTGTTCTATGTGGCAGACAGCTCCTCTCCCTTCGATACTTGTTCATGTTCAAATGCAGAAGCCTCTGCTCCCAGGCTGATTGCTATTTGAGAGCACACCCACCTGCACTGGGCAGTACTTAGAGAGCTGACTAACTCTATTTTCATCGTTTATATGCATTTTGCTTAGATTTTTGTTTTCTGGTATTCAGACAGTGCTGGGGGAAGGCTGCGAATTCACCCTGTTTTCACCATTAACAAAGAAGAAGAATCCAACCAGATGTGCACCAAGGTAGAATCTGAATCAGGCTTTTAGAAGTTATTAGGCAATATAATCATATGTTTGATAACAACATGGGTTTCTTACAATGCAGGCAAGAACCACACTTTCTTAATGGGAAAAAAAAATAAAAATGAATGGAAATGTGCTGCAATGACTGAGACTGTAAACGTTTGAATGAGCCAAGGGACTCCCCTGAGATAAGAACATATGATTAGTATAATATTTATGCTAAAAGAACAAGGGGGAGGAAGATTGCAGATGCATGTCTATTTCTGGTGCTTTAAAATATTAGAATGAATTATTTATTTATTTCAGTATTTTTATATTGATTTCATTATTTTAGTATTTTAAAACAATACACTTTAAAAGATTTCTATTCAAGTGTCTTGCATTAATATTCATAACACCCAAACCTCTTTAAACATGGTTATGTTATTGAATCTTAGTAAGTCCTTCAAAACACTGCACATAAAATTTTACAGCATCTATTATTTCAAAGTTTATAACTGTAAAACCCCTCCTCAGAAAATATATATCCAGGTCAACTTATCCTCCAGAAGAAATAAAAATCCCAAATCCTCCCTCAACCAATATAATCCAACTGGAAAAAGAAAAATGGAAGAAATTCTTGAAATGAATAAGCTGAGAAAACCATTAAGAAGACTTTGTTTGAGGATGCTTTAAGTACAGTTTTGTAATGGGTGTTGGAACAGAACTGTCAGAGTCTGGTGAAATGTAATATCAAAACAGTGTCATGTCTGTTATGACAAAAATGTACATCCAATAAAAATACAAATGAGAAGTAGGAAATAAAACTAAGATTATAGTTTCTTTATTAGATCCCTGTTAGCAAGATATTAAAGCACAAAATTAGTTTTAAGCATGTGATTAGGTGTATCTAGTTCAGCATAACTTTAAGCACATGCTAATTTCTTTTTTTCTGAATTGGTTCCATTAACTGCCTCTTCTTGATTATTTCAAGCTTGCCTTTAGCTGTCTCTGATGAATAGAAGCTATTCATGCTTTAGTTAATGTATCTCAGCTCATCTACTACAAAGATGTAGACTTTGAAAATGACAAGCTACTGAAAAAAAACATGTAAAAGAGCAGCTGCAAAATACCTTTCATTGTCATATAGAAAACAAGAATCCCTATAACATTCTCCAGTCAGTGTAGTCAGTAGGTGCAGAAACTGGGTAAATGAACTCATGGTTAAATAGGCATGAATTCCCCTATTCTAATCGGCATGCAGAAGCATAAAAGTAAGAAAATAAGGTAAAAATGGCAACTCCCATTATGATTCTCTGAGGTATTCAGTAATCTCTACTGTGTAAGGTGCCAGGGTATTTTCTGAGTGCCTCTGAAATATTACACTGACAAAGAAGAAGAAACATCACTCTATAATAAAATTCAAATATTTATCTCTCAAGTGTTATAAGTGAGAATAAACCACTGTCACATACTAACGTGTTCTCTAAGATGGAAAAACAGCCACCAATACCATTGCTTCTACTGCATATGGAGGGTGATCAAGGGTCTGCCTTCTCTTTTAGTTGAGTGCTTGTTCAGTAAAGCAGCTGAATCTTGCTTCTAACAGCTGGCATCATTGTGTTGGAGATAAAAAAAAAGGAAATTAATACCAACAATTCCATCTCAGACACTGGTGTTTGCTGCTGCCAGGAGCTGGGAGGTGAAGAATAGAGCATGACTTGTGATTCCTGTATTTGCATTTTCTTTATGAGATCAGAGAGGAAATAACAAACGTTTTCAAAGTTTAGTCATGCATGCTAACTTGTAGAGTTGTCTGAAGATTTTACTGTTATGAAGCTCACAAATACAGCTGATGTGGCTTTTTATTCCTAGTAGATACTGTAATGCTGAATCAGAGTTGCATACTTTTTTTCTGAAGGTGGAAACTAGTCTATTTAACCTTTCCTTATTGAGTGAAGGACAATTTTGTCAGATAGCAGAAAACATGTTGATAAAAGTAACTGTATTCAGTGACATTCTAGGCACTTCTTTGTACTGATTTTTTAAGAGGTTTTTCTTATTTTAAATCTGCAGGATAAAGAAAGTACACACAATTCCCCTCTGCCAGGTCAGCTGCCTGCAAAAGACTATGAGGATATAACCAGTAATATTTCAGACAGGTAAGTCTTTCAAATGTTCTAAAACTATTAAACAGTATAAATAATTTATTCTTATATTTCCAGAGCTGTCCCAACATGGTATGCAAATGCACTCATATGTCCCAAATGACAGAAATACAGTTCTATGGGAATGCAGCTCCATCTGCAGCAAGAATTGCTAAATAGCTTCCACCCAACTACTGAGACAAATGAACCAGAAACTTCTAGATGGAACAGTTCATGCTGGCATGCCTAAGCTAGTTTTACCCTTTCTAGCTGAGGAGGAAAGAAAACAGTGGTAACACTATTTCCCTGGTGTGGGCAGGGTCTCCATGGATTTTACTAAGTGTTCCAATAGGCCTTGCAGCCTGGGCTAAACCCTGTGCTACTATGGCTATAGCAATACAGATGTTTAACTCCAAACATCCGGGAATCAAGAGAATTTGAGGATTACTCCAAAGAAAGCACATAGTATAAGAAGAGAAGAATTTTACTTCATATTTTGAATCTACAGTACGATGGGAAATTGAAGAGTAAGAGTGTTGACAAGACATGGGCAGTTCTGTCTATTACAGTGTTGCATAATATATTAAATATTATTATTTTCTTTATCACTTCTAACCCACATAAATTAAAAAAGGATTAAATATTTACATTTAAAACTTAAAACTTTGTGAGAACAGTATTTGGTCAATCAATTAGGCATGAAAATCTTCCCTTACCTGTTTTTAGAGATAAAGCCTGAAAGAAGATTTGAGAGCATCTGTAAGTGAGAACATCCATGTGAACATAGGTTCAGTGCCACTTGTTATTATATCATTACTAATATGAGATTATCTTGTGATATATCTGGTAATTAGATGTGATTATTATTGAATTATCTTGCTCTGTGTGCAAGATGCATAAATGCATCTGTGGCTAATACAATGTTATCTTATCTTATAAAGGGATAAAAAGTATCTTTTCTGGTTGTTTTGCAAATAAGGTGGTTTTCTGGCCCCTATCCAGTAATCTGAATCTCTTTACTCTCACTATTTTCTAGCATTTCTATTTCCTACTTGCCAAAGCTTTGTGAACTTGAACAGGCACAGCCTGCAGTGGTTACTGATATTGGCAAACCTGCTACTTTTCTTATTCTCCCTCTTAAGTGTACCTTTTTGCTATTTCTAACACATAGAATGATCATATGTAGGATAGGATAATGCAAGACTGTGGTATGCTTAAGACTGCTAACATAATTCAGTGTTAGACCTGAGAGTATCAGAATTAGGCAGTAGAGGAATGTTTGACCCATTCTGCTCATATTGTGGTTGTATTCTGTATTGCAGATGTATTTTCTACCTGAAACATGTTTAAATGCTCTAAAATTTTCTAAGAACATTAGGAAGCAGTATCAAGCAAAGCCTATTTAGCCATGATTGCCTAACAACTGAAAAAGTCATACATGAAAAATTATTTATAACTTTGACAGTCCTTACTTCCAGTCTTTTTTGGGCAGATTTTATACAAAGTATGTTCTTATCTCTTTGAAAAAATAAAATAACACAGTCAGATAGATAATAGTGGGTTTTGCTAGCTATATTTGCAAACACTATGCCAGACAAAATGCTATTACTCCTTGAACTTCCATTCTTCAGAGTTCACAATTGTTCTTGAAAATAGTTGCTCAAGCAAATTAAAAGTTATCAAAATAGATTAAAACCAAAATCTTTGTACAGTTCAGGCTATCAAAGTTTCTGCTGCTTCCATAAGACCATTCAACTGATGCTATTTTACAGATCACAGAAACAAGCAGAACATGAAGTCTGCAGAAGAGAGAGTCAGCAGTCCGAGTCAGACAGCTGGAACAATGAAGATGATGATCTGCCCCACAGGATTTCCGTTCTACCTAGAAGTAACCATGCAAAAACTTCTCTTGTTTCTATAACATTATAGTCCAGGTCCTTCGTATATGCTCATTGAGAACAATACTAATCCCTTGTACATAAGCTAAGAATTTGCTCTTTGTGTCTCAAAGATCAGGGCACTTGGGACACAATTCTTACCATTGATACATATAAGGGTCATCAAGCCTTTGCAACATTCACAAGAAGGTGGCCTATATCAGGAGCTCTCCAACTCTTTTGGAGAACTGCCAGAAGGAAGGAACATGGGTCTCAATGTAGTTAATTAAACCCAGGGAGATCAGCTCTACTGGGCATCACCCACTCACCACTGCTGTGAGCAACTCTGCTTTGGAACTCCAGTTTGAAAAGGATGAGCAACGTTTTTTTGTTTGTTTGTTTGTTTTTCTGGGAGGGAGGGTTGTGTGGGTTTCTGGTGTTTGATTGGGTTTTTGGTTGGAGTTTTTGGTGGGGTTTTTTGGTAATGTTATATATCATGTCCTTCCCCAAAGCAAAATCTCTGATTACCTCCATTATACTCAATGATGTGTACCAATGGAGCAAATAATAGGAAATAAAAGTTGTTGCATTAATTTTACCAACACCATGGCATTTGTTCAAACCATGCACTGCGGGATAGTGCAAAGAAATAACAGACTGATTTGGTGGCTGAACAAAAAAAAAAGTTATGAAACTAGCTCCCAAGTGGATAATTAAAAAATTTAAATTCTTAATTTGTCCCAAAATGAATAAAATAAAAGCAGGACAGACTGGATGTAGTAGAAGGTCTTTTTCATATATGACAGGCAACAACAAAAAAGGCTTTGAGAATTAACGGGAAAAATTGCAGGAACATATTACAAAATGTTCTTGTTATCACTGGATGCAAATATTTTTTGAACGAATTATCTTTCTCTTACTGTTCCCATACAACTCCTCAAAAGATTAAATGAAACCGTTACACAAAAACTTAGAATGAAGGGTCAAAGTCTATTTCAAGACTTTCTTCTCAGAAACACTGAATTTGACTTCATATAATAACTTCATTAAACCTCTAGAATGGATGTGCTTAAATACATATGAAAGCACTTTCACAGCTCATGTGCTACAGACCCACTGATACCAGAAGACAGTTTCCACAAGGAATCTGCCTAGCTGTTCCTATAGGAAATTAAGCTGCTCCTGCCCCAAACAAGAAACTCCTCTGAAATACAAGTGTCTCTGTGCTGTTTCTTGCCCTATGGAAGCAATACATTGCTGATGACTCTTGTCAGAAGTAACCACAGTTATCTCCGTCACACTGCCAAGCTGCACTGGCAAGCAAAGAGAACATTATAACCTGTCTATCCTCTAGTACCTGCTCAAAGTTTGGGGTTTTTATTTCACTTGATCTTGAAGGAAAGAGAGATGTATGGGAAATAGTGTACTCTGTCTGGAGTGGAGAATGTTTGGCACTCTCAACTACTTAATAGAAACACACATCTGTGAGGGTTAGATAAACAGAAAGTGAACAGAAAACATCTTAGAAGCTCAGCAGGTGCAAGTTGTAGCCCAGACAAAAGCATAGCAAAGACAACATTTCTGTAATCTCAATCATTTAAGAGTAGCAGTGACATCTTCCAGAAGAAAAACAGAGCATTGCTGCTTGTCTTCATCCTACAACAAAGCCATGGGTAAAATCATCATATTTTCCTTGAGATAACTGGCATGTTATCCTTTGCCAACTAAAAGGACAACTTCCATAGTTCCTCTGCCTCAAACCACTATTTTCTGCCAAACAAGCTACTGTTTTAACTCTACATGGTAACAAAAGGTTTTCAACTGCTCCAGTAGAGTAGCGATATTTCTAGAGATAGAAATGTTTAACCATCTTCCCAATCTGTCAAGCTTTGCATCAGAACATATACTTCAGGAAGAGCTAACCAGTAAAACCGAATCCTGATTTTGGTGATCAAAGATACTTCACATCTTGTTCTTGAAAGGGAGTGTGAGATAAGATGAAAAGAACAGAGGGTATTTTCTTAATTCAGGGAGAAAGAATTTCCAGTGATCATTCCTAGCAATGAGGTGTGGCAAAACTAATATTCAGGAAAATGCTGGAAACATGAAGATGATTGCCTATGAAGATGTGACTGAGCTTTCTATACCAACACAAACTAGCAATAAATGTTACAACTCTGCAAGAACAGTATTTCAAATGGACTATATTTTAAGAAACTGTATGAGGCAATAAGTTGCAATAGTTGGATCTAATTCCAAATTACATGAAATGTGGTGCTGGTTGTATCCATGGTGCTGACTTATTCTTCTTTCTGCTGTGAACATAAGTAAGCCAAAAATATCTTTTTACATTTCACTTCCACAGTATAAGCACTAAAATGTACTTAAATACTACAGCCCTCTAGGTTTTTAAAGCCAACACTTTGCAGTATGAACAATAATAATAAAAAATGCCTTTGTATTTTGTTGATATATAGGTAGAACCTTTACTTCTGGAGATGAACTGACTTGGTTAATTAACATTAAACCATCACTGACTGGAGTAGGTCCAAGGACTGGCATTACAGGTCTTATTCGAGGCCTTCAATTGCGGATTGAGAATCAAGAGGTGTTAAAGGAGTTCATGGTAAAGTGTGATTGTTTTTTAAGATGTGGGTGTCTAGCAGAACTAAGGGGCTTTTAGCAGCCATCTGCATACTGTATAGGAGACTGACTTGTATATCTTTACTGACTCTTCCTTCTCAGAGATTTATTCCAGCCAGAATGGGGCTTTTAATCTGCTGATTGGGTGATGCTACAATACTTGGATCTCGCTCTTTCCAGACAGGTCAGGCTTACACTGTTGCCTGTCCAAAGAAACTGCCCACATGTAATGAAAAATAAATGATACGCAAAAGTAGATTTTGAATGTTTTTTTCCTAGACTGACTTCTTCCTATTACCCCCTCAGCTCTGCTGAATATCTGCCTAAGATCTATTCTAGAGGCTGCATTAAAGCAAGAAATCCATGCTGCTAGGGATTCACTAGTGTTGAAACAGTTAATGAAAGGAAAAATGTTTCACACAATGCTCCAGTGATCCATGGAACTCATTGCCACAAGATGCTATTAAGGTTAGGAACTTTATGAAATTAAAAAGAAAAGGTAATGTTTTTCCATAGATATTGAAAACACACAATTACATCTGATGGTATATAAATAATGAAAAAGTGTAAAGTTAGCAAAACATAAAAAATCTCATGTTTCAGGATATAAATAGAGTATTCAGTTATCAGCAGATTTCCAAAAACTGGATTATTTCATAAATCTTCAACACAGAACTGGAGTTTTCTTTAACTGCTGTACTCATTACCTATGAAATAGATTCCTACCACTTTCCACAGTAATTACAATGTCATCAATTTCTTTTACTTGCTTTTATATCTCTGATTTTTTGGGTACAAAATCCTACAGGCTAAAGTGTGTAGGATTTTCTGACTTTCCCTGAAGGCTCAAAGGCATGTATTAATTTCCACTCATTCCATTCTGTTACTGATGTACGCATAGCATACTATGAGCTGAGTCGCACGTCTGCACAGAAAACATAAAGATCTAATAGAGGAAGTAAAAGCTGTAGTAACTGATGAAGATGTTAAAGACCTGTCACATGTCCAAATACTGTATAGTAGCATAAGGTGATGGCTGAGCATTGTACAATGCATACCAAAGAGGTAAAGGAATGAAGAAAAGTCAAGGTAACTCAAAATTGGAAATTAAATTAACTTGCACATTCCTG